TTATTTCTGAGAATTTTCAGAAATCTGGTTTATTCAATCCAGATCAGATTCTCACGTGGACTTAGGTTAACTTTGCTTAACCCTAATCTGGTTGTTAAAGTCCTATGACCAAGTCTTGAGGTTAACCATAATTAACCCTAGCTATTTTCGAGGAAGCCCTAACAGAAGAATAGCTGGCTATATATTCATCATGAAGACTGTTGGTGAAAGATACTTTTGACAGAAGTTCAATAGGACTGTATAGTTGTAACTACTGTAATCCAAGCAATTATCATTGTGATAAGTGACTTGGAGTAGGATTTGATTGTAAGGGTTGTGTATCACTCAAAGCTTTGAAGCACGAGTGTTTGTGTCACTTGATTAAAGCTTTGAAGCAAAGTCAAGTTAGGGTTGTGTATCACTCAAAGCTTTGAAGCACGAGTGTTTGTGTCACTTGATTAAAGCTTTGAAGCAAAGTCAAGTTAGGGTTGTGTATCACTCAAAGCTTTGAAGCACGAGTGTTTGTGTTACTTGATTAAAAGCTGTGAAGCAAAATCAAGTGTATGTTCTGAAGAGTGTCTTCATAATTTCATTAGTCAATTGTTTAGTATCACTGCTGTGATTGAGGGGAAGTGAGTAGGAACTCAGGTTTAAGTTGAACTTAGATTGAAGTTGCATTGGGTAGGTCTTAAGTGAAGGAGATAAATTGGTTGGTTTATTCCTGAATTAATATCTCTTATAGTGAATTTCCTCCCTGGTTTGGTAGCCCCCAGAGTAGGTGTTGTTACACACTGAACTGGGTAAACAATTGACTGTGTTCTTTACTGCTTTTAGATTTACTGTCTTGAAGAAAGTCAGATACAGTGTCATAACATTCACTGTGACATTAAGTATCTGCTGCCAGAATTTCAATTTGGTTCCGTAAGCAAGCCTAAATGAAGTTTTTCAGGTCGTTGAATGGGGTGTAAATAAACATGCCCAGAGGACGTGTGGGAGTTATTTTACCCAAATTCCCCTAAGAGACCTCTAGCCTTATCTTCAATCCTTTCAACAGAACCTTGTTGATGATCTTTGCTTTCCCCTTAGTCTAAGGGTGCTCTACCGATGTAAAGTGATTAATTTTCAAGTCTACAATTTTTTTTCATATTTTTGTATGTAAACTGCATCCTATTATCAATAATAACATATTGTAGGATCCCATATCTCGACAGGATACTTTGTTTGAATGACTTCGGTATGTTGGCTACGGTGAACTTTGCTAATGCTTCCGCTTCTAACCACTTGATAATGTAATCTACCGAACAATTATGAAGTTCAAGTTCCTATGGGCTAGGGGAAAGGAATGAGGATGTTCATACCACATTGCAAGAAATGCCAATGTGTTGACAACCAATTTAAGCTCTGTTGGAGGGGCGGCATGGATATCTTCGTGCTTCTGGTAATACTCACATCTTTTTACATATGCTTAGGCATCTTATACCATGGATGGACACTAGTACCGGGCTCTAAGAACTTTCATGTTTAAAGCTCTGGCTCTTAGCTGTTGCTTGGAAATACCCTTATGTACCTTTGTGAATGCATATGTGGCTTCTACCCTTTTGAGACATTTCAGCAGAGACGTCGAAAAGCCTCTCTTGTATAACCTCCCTCCTAATATAGAGTATGAACTTGTTCTTCTCTTCACAAGACTAGCATTGGCGATGGTGACGATGAGGATCCTGTTTAAGGGTTTGGTCAATGGTGTACGCCATAAAGTAACGGCGTGGCATTCTCGAGGTCGTCACTATCACTAATCAAATTTTCTCTATCTTTTGATAGTTCATCTTTGACCCTGTTAGCGCTTTAGAGATGAGTTATATTGAGTTTTGAATGGAGTGTGTTTCTCGTAATAGGTTGGCACTAACTACTTCACAGGATAGAGCCAGTAAAGGAATACGGTCTCACTAATTGCTGGTCTAGAGAAAATTAGTGGGATATATAAGGTTGTGTTTAGTGGAACAAACGCCTATTTGCATTATGGGTACACTAAAAGCATCGTGTTTCTTTCTTCACTAATTTGTAGAACATCAAAGAGTGTTAAGTTGATCTCGAGGTAAACATAGTCAAGGTTGCGAGCATCTCGTCCGTTCAGCTTCATTATCTCTTCTTTATAGTTGGAGTCTCCAATTTGATAATTACTTTTCTCTTGTTCGAGTTTGCTTTTATGCCTCTCTTCGTAAAGTAGAAACCCAATAATTTGTTGGCTCTGGCCCGGAAGGTGCACTTCTCATGGTTAGGCTTCATATTATATTGTTGGACCCATCTAAACATGTTTGCAATGTGTTCATCGTGTTTATCCTCTTCATTGAATTTTAAAATCATGTTGTTTAAGTATATCTCTAATGTTTGTGAATTTCCTCTTCAAAACATTATTCATCATTCTTTAGTAAGTTGCACTCACGTTCTTCAAGCTGAAGGGGATGACGCTATATCAATAGTTGGCGTGATTCATCATGAAGGGGATTTTGTCTCAGTCTGCTCCATGCATAAGGATTTGATTATATTTGGAGTACGCATATATGAATGACAACAATTTATAGGCAGCGAAGTTATCTAACTGCTTGTCGATGTTGAAGAGCAGTTACGAATTTTTGAGGTAAGTTGGTTTAGGTCGGTGAAGTTTACACATTCCGTTTTTATATGTCTTTTTTACTAGGACAACATTAGATAGTCATTTGGTATATTACTTCAGAAATAAAGTTGACATGTAATAGGCCTCGGTCGTGTTCATGGTGACTTTCAATTTCTCGGGAGATTGTCGTCTCCTTCTTTAGACCACATATCTGATGGAAGGGTTGATATTAAACTAGTAACATGCTACGCTGCGGTCGATGTTGAGCATTTCGTATAGGGATATCATGAAGAGCTTGGTGTTAGATCTTAAACACTCGATAGGCATCTCAGTAGAATTGGCAAATAGGATCTTATCTCAGGGTCGTCACTTTGGTTCTCATCGAAAAGTTGAGCTCATCACTCGACATGGTCTCATCTTCGCACACAATGAAATCAAATGTTTCGATGGTCCTTCGGGATCGTATCATGTATTAGTGGGCACCGCACAAGTTAATTGAATTGACAATTGGTTCAGTAAAACAATTGTGGTATTTCATATTTATGTTAATTGAATTGACAATTGGTTCAGTAAAACAATTGTGGTATTTCATATTTAGGTGGAATACGAAGCTACTGTGTCTAGTGCGGCAAGAAAAATTCTTTCTAAGATGCAATCCATGATAGCATCACCACTAACGAAAGTATCACGTTGAAAACCTTATCCAACTTTTCTTTGTCCCGAAATCCTAGGATAAGTCTTTCCTTCTTTCCAAAGAGACCTATTTCGTAGGTCCTTTGTTCAAATGGGAATCGCTATTCACATCTGTTGATGTATGACACAAAACATATGATAATATCAAACTGCCTGTTTATCTCTCTAGCAGAGTATAATTAAATCCTCTTGTGTTAGAATTCAATACAAGAAAGTTACCCAAAAAATCTTATAATTAAAACTCATGGATTTCCATTATTTAAAAAACATACAAGTAGTAAAGTAAGATCTTCCATATGACCTTACCATGTTAAATTCCAACAAAATGATCCAAATCATGATAAATCTGTGATAGAATGGTTATTCAATAAGACTATTTTTCATTGCACCTTTGTATAATGTACACACCTCTGAAAGTTCAAAATACACTTAAGTTTATTCAGAAATACATATTCGAATATACCAAATCTTATTTTTTGTCAAAATTTGATTCAAAAATATATCTCTGAATTATTTGGAGATTAATTCAAAAATGTACCTCGAAAATATATATAATTGAAATCACTTTATATATATATATATATATATATATATATATATATATATATATATATATATATATATATATATATATATATATATATATATATATATATATATATATATATATATATATATATATATATATAATTGAAATCACTTTATAGAAATATATGAATAATATGAAAATTACAATTGGTGTATTGATGATAATTTTTATATTAGTAATTGATGATAATATCTAATATATGTTTCAATTTCCAATTACCACCAATTACTATCAAGAAAATTACACATATAGAAATTTCTATTTTACTCAAGAAAATTACACATAGAGAAATTTTTATATTACTCAAGAAAATATGTAATTCAAATATAAATATAATTTTATATTAGTCAAGAAAATATGTCATTATTATTATCGAAATTAATGAGAATTGGAACAAATAGTATTTTTGAATATACATTACTAAATTTTTTAAAATTAATTTAGAGATGTATTTTCGAATTAAATTTTTATAAAAAATGAGATTTAATGCGTCTAAAAATATATCTCTAAAAACAAGAGACATTTTGAAAATTTTACCATAGACTTGAAAGAAAATATAAAAGTGTAAAGAGAAATTGACATCCAATAATAGCTTCCTAACTAAAACCCTTTTGCCACACTAATTTGTGCAAACTGGAGAATATCTATGGCACCCTATATTAGACCAAATTCTAACCAAGTGGTTGGCCTAGTAGTTAATGAGCTTCAATTATGGTCAAATCCTTGTTCAAGTCTTTGAGTGAAATCATTTTTTATCACCGAACTCCAAATTACCCAGACTCCTTCCCCTAATAACTAGAGGTTAAGACCAGAAAAATATTACGACCAAAACCTGCTGCAAATTGTATTAAATGACTTAGAAAAAAAAGTACAATTGAATAGAATAAGATATAAGAAATGAAATTATATTGGTTTAACTTACAACAAATCAATTAACTCCCACACATGTAAAACACATAATGCCAGAAATAAGAAATGAGTTTCGATCTCAAAACTATTACGGCTCCACAAACTAGACTTAACAACTACAGTATAAAGATATAACGTTTCATGTTGTGAATTGAGGATAGTTTATCACACAGACCTCATTTTTGGTATAATACATGAAGCTTTTCGGTTCAGTGGGTATCAGCGAGACTGCAATGCTTCTTGAATATGTTTAACAGCGCTGTCGTAGTTCACAAAGCCCATAAACCAAAATTCATGGTTGTCTACCGAGATAATCTGTATAAATTTTTCGGATGGGTTGACTTTGCTTGTGGATGGGTTCACTGCTCTCAGCTGATGCAATGGAATAACCACCTAGTGCATAAGATGAAAAAGCATGCTTGTAAAAATTCCAAAACATTAGACAAATTATGATTGAAAATGATAACTGTTATATCTACTACTATTATTATTATTATTGAAATTCTGGCAGCAGATACTCAATGTCACAGTGAATGTTATGACCCCGTATCTGACTTTCTATAAGACAGTAAATAAAAACAGTAAAGAACACAGTCAATTGTTTACCCAATTCAGTGTCTGGGGGCTACCAAGCCAGGGAGGAAATCCACTATAAAAGATATTAATTCAGGAATAAACCAACCAGTTTATCTCCTTCACTTAAGACCTACCCAATGCAACTTCAATCTAAGTTCAACTTAAACCTGAGTTGCTACTCACTCCCCCTCAATCACAGCAGTGATACTTAAAACAATTAACTAATGAATTAATGAAGACACTCGTCAGAACATACACTTGATTATGCTTCACAGCTTTTTAATCAAGTAACACAAACACTCGTGCTTCACAGCTTTGAGTGATACATAAACCTAACTTGACTTTGCTTCAAAGCTTTAGTCAAGAGACACAAACACTCTTGCTTCAAAGCTTTGAGTGATACAAAAACCCTTACAATCAAAACCTATTCCAAGTCACTTATCACAATGATATTTGCTTGGATTACAGCAGTTAAAACTATACAGCTCCTAATTGATCTTCAGTCAAAAGAGTTACTTTGCAGCCAGCATTCCTGTTGAATATATATGCAGCTGTTTCTCCAGTTAGAGTTTCCACAAAAAGCTAGGGTTAATTAGGTTTAACCTTAAGACTTGGTCACAAGACTTTATCAACCAGATTAGGGTTGAGCTAGGTTAACCCAAAGTCCACGTGAGATTCTGTTCTGGAAGAAAAGAGCCATCTTCCTGAAAAATCTCAAAATTAACCAAACTGCAAATCTGTTAGATCAGTACAGGATGTCTTAACGTTTGTTATGACATCAGAATTCCTGTTTACTGATTTTGGTAGAAGGCAATAAATGTGATCATTGCAAAATGCTCAGATACACACTCATAAACAGTAGCTACTGTATGCCATACTTTTTCTGCATAAAGAACCTAATAATCCAGAATGTTATGACATCAGTCATGACATTTACACACCTGGTTTTACCAAAAATACATGCCAATAACTAAGCACTTACAAACCCCCCCTTTGGCAGATTTTTGGCTAAAACCCCTAAGCAATCAGAAAATAGAGAGCAGCTGAATGAATATGACTGCAGAAAAAATATGATGTCTACCAAGAATTAACACAGAATATCTCCCCCTCTTTAGCCACAAATGGGCCAAAGATACATGTACTTATATGTTATACAGTCATCCAAAATAAGTAATAAAAACAACAAATAAAATCTGAAAACACTTGCATCAACAGGAACCAGCATCAAGCTTGTCAACTCCACCAAACTTTAAGCATTGTCATCTTCAGAGGAGCTACTTTCTTCAGTATTGAGCTGATCTTCAGCAGCACCCTCTTCCCTTCTGTTTCCTTCAGTCTCCTCCTGTTCTAATCTGGCGATTAGGTTTTCTAGAGTCTTTTTCCTTGTCTCCAGCTCTTTGCAGTTCTCTTTTAATACAGCTATAACATCAGATGTCTTGGACTGAGTTTTTACAGATGATGTCTCAGTTGATGTTATGACAATGTCAGGAACATGAGATCCCTGAAATAGCTTGTAGTGTAACCCAAGAGCAGAAGCTCTTTTGCAAGCAGTATCTCTGCCATAGTCAAATTCAGTCTTGGTTCCAACAGCATAAATGAATCTCCCCAATCCTGTGGAGATGGTTGATTTATAGTTGGTAGGGACCCAGTTGGCTGCACCAATCTTGTGCAGGATGGCAAATTTTATGCTTAGTTTGCTGGCATTCAGCTTGCCTTTTAAGGGCCAGCACTTGACTTGTCTTGCTGTGATGGTTTGGCATACTTCATTGTCAGTGACTTCTAGTTCAGGGCAAGCCTCATTTGATCTTCCAAGAAATTTGTTAATTTCAGATGGAGAGAAATTAACCCTTCTTCCTCTCACATAGACACATTCAAAGTCAGCTAACCTTCCATCAGCACATTCATCAGACAAATTCGCTATGAATTCTCTCCATCTGAAATTAACAAATTTCTTGGAAGATCAAATGAGGCTTGCCCTGAACTAGAAGTCACTGACAATGAAATATGCCAAACCATCACAGCAAGACAAGTCAAGTGCTGGCCCTTAAAAGGCAAGCTGAATGCCAGCAAACTAAGCATAAAATTTGCCATCCTGCACAAGATTGGTGCAGCCAACTGGGTCCCTACCAACCATAAATCAACCATCTCCACAGGATTGGGGAGATTCATTTATGCTGTTGGAACCAAGATTGAATTTGACTATGGCAGAGATACTGCTTGCAAAAGAGCTCCTGCTCTTGGGTTACACTACAAGCTATTTCAGGGATCTCATGTTCCTGACATTGTCATAACATCAGCTGAGACATCATCTGTAAAAACTCAGTCCAAGACATCTGATGTTATAGTTGTATTAAAAGAGACCTGCAAAGAGCTGGAGACAAGGAAAAGACTCTAGTAAACCTAATTGCCAGATTAGAACAGGAGGAGACTGAAGGAAACAGAAGGGAAGAGGGTGCTGCTGAAGATCAGCTCAATGCTGAAGAAAGTAGCTCCTCTGAAGATGACAGTGCTTAAAGTTTGGTGGAGTTGACAAGCTTGATGCTGGTTCCTGTTGATGCAAGTGTTTTCAGATTTTATTTGTTGTTTTTATTACTTATTTTGGATGACTGTATAACATATAAGTACATGTATCTTTGGCCCATTTGTGGCTAAAGAGGGGGAGATATTCTGTGTTAATTCTTGGTAGACATCATATTTTTTCTTCATATTTCTCTGTTCCCGATGTTGAGTGTTATGTTGAGACATCTGCTTTGCCATTTGTTTATTAGACCTGATCTTCTTGTCTGCACCAGATTTCTTTGCTGCCACAAATCCTAGACCAGACTTGTTTCCCACATTTTGTCCAACCTGAAGGATTTCTTCCAATTTGTCAGTTCCATTTGACAGCATCTTGACAGATTTGGTCATCTGGTTCAGTTTTGAGTTCAGCAATTGAACTTCCCCTTCTAGATGACTTCTTTCAAGGTCTGCCTTTTTTTCAGCCTCCAACTTTATGATGAGTTTTATTTGTCTCTCATTTTGCACACAGACTTCAGCACTTCTGATACACAATTTCTTGTAAGTATCAGCCAGTTCTTCAAATGTCACTTCCTCATCACTAGTGTCACTTTCAGAGGTACAAACACCAGTTAGTGCAGTAACTAGTTTGGCAGATTCTTCTTCAGAATTACTTTCTGAATCACAGTCAGACCAGGTAGCAGTCATTCTTTTCTTTTGTTTCTTAAGAAAGGTAGGACATTCAGCTCGAATATGCCCATATCCTTCACAACCATGGCATTGAATTCCTCTGCCTTGATTTCCCTTCTCTTCAGACATTGGTCTTCTGCTGGATTCATAAGATCTGTTAATGTCAGAGGGGATGTTCTCAACATTTGACCTTGACTTTGGATCCATTCTCTTGATGAGTTTGTTGAATTGTCTTCCAAGCATGGCTATAGCTTCTGAAATATTTTCTTCTTCATCCTCCTTGTTTTCATCTTCAGTGTTGGATACAAGTGCTATGCTCTTGTTTTTCTTGTCAACATTGTCACTGATCCCCATCTCAAAAGTCTGAAGAGACCCAATGAGTTCATCCACCTTTAACTTGCTGATGTCCTGGGCTTCCTCTATAGCAGTTACCTTCATTGCAAATCTTTTAGGCAGGGATCTGAGAATCTTTCTCACCAGTTTTTCTTCAGACATCTTTTCACCCAATGCTCCTGAGGTGTTGGCAATCTCCAAGATGTTCATGTGAAACTCATGAATGGTTTCATCTTCCTTCATCCTTAGGTTCTCAAACTTGGTAGTCAGCATCTGAAGCCTTGACATTTTTACTTTGGATGTGCCCTCATGGGTAGTTTTGAGAGTGTCCCACACTTCCTTGGCCAGTTCACATTGATGTACTAGTCTGAAAATGTTTCTATCAATTCCATTGAACAAGACATTTAAAGCTTTGGAATTACCCAGGGCTAACTCATCTTCTTCTTTGCTCCATTCTTCCTCAGGCTTCAGACTGATTGTCCCATCTTTCTCAGTTATGGTGGGATAGTTCCATCCTTTGTCAGCAGCTCTCCAAGCCTTTTTGTTCAGTGATTTTAAGAAGGCAATCATACGAGGTTTCCAGTAGTCATAATTTATTCCATCCAGAATGGGTGGTCTGTTTCCAAAAACTCCTTCTTTGTCCATAGTGCCAGAAAGTGATATCCCTAGATCTCACCCAGTAATACAGGCAGGGTGCCTGCTCTGATGCCAATTGAAATTCTGGCAGCAGATACTCAATGTCACAGTGAATGTTATGACACCGTATCTGACTTTCTATAAGACAGTAAATAAAAACAGTAAAGAACACAGTCAATTGTTTACCCAGTTCAGTGTGAAACAACACCTACTCTGGGGGCTACCAAGCCAAGGAGGAAATCCACTATAAGAGATATTAATTCAGGAATAAACCAACCAGTTTATCTCCTTCACTTAAGACCTACCCAATGCAACTTCAATCTAAGTTCAACTTAAATCTGAGTTCCTACTCACTCCCCCTCAATCACAGCAGTGATACTTAAAACAATTGACTAATGAATTAATGAAGACACTCTTCAGAACATACACTTGATTATGCTTCACGGCTTTTTAGTCAAGTAACACAAACACTCGTGCTTCACAGCTTTGAGTGATACATAAACCTAACTTGACTTTGCTTCAAAGCTTTAGTCAAGAGACACAAACACTCTTGCTTCAAAGCTTTGAGTGATACAAAAACCCTTACAATCAAAACCTATTCCAAGTCACTTATCACAATGATATTTGCTTGGATTACAGCAGTTAAAACTATACAGCTCCTA